CGCAAAAATGGGTTCCTAGACACCTTAAAAGAATTCTCACCCAATATGAGCTCTTAATTTTAATAGGAAGACCCTCCGCATCGCAGTTTTTTATTTTTTTTTAGTTCAATAGATTAAAATTCATATCTCATTATTTATTGATTGTACAGAAAAATGTTCATTACGAATTTTGTAGGAAATTTAATGCTCTACAAAAAAGGTATCTTATACTTTTTCTGTAAACCTCACCATTTGAATGATATTAAAGATTGAAATTTGATGATTTTTAGATATATCTCATTTTTGCTTATGAATTTTATAACTCGACAATAAATAACTATTAAGAAGTGCACAATACAAATTTTTGTAGGAAATTAACTGCTCTATAAAAATGGTGTCTTATGTTTTCGCGATTAAATAAAGCGTTCAAAAGATATTCATCATCAAACTTTCATGCGTACTGATTTTTGTCTCTGCCACATTGGTGTTGTGTGCACAGCATTGCTCAGTTGGCGGCGACAGCACTTTAGTATCTTTTGCTTTCTGTGCTAGTGCTTTGTTTCAATAACAATAAGTTACAAAAGTCATCAAGTTTTTATTTGTATAAATTTTTGTGCCCTTTTATTATGACAGACGAAAGAGACGATACAAATATTTACGACGAATGCGCGGACGTCTTGTCTGACGAAATGAATAAACGAAAACGAAGAAACTGTCATGTATGTTCCAAAAACAGAAAAAGAAAAATAACAATCTTAATGTGCAAGTCTTGTGGAGTTGCTTTACATCTTGGAGACTGTTTTGCTGCGTACCATAGGAAAGAGAAATACAAAATACCAAAGAAAATGCAAATAAACAAATAAATAAAAGAAACAAATTTTGTATCTATTTACATATGTATATCTTCGAAATTTCATGAAATTAGGGGAACAGTGTTGAGAACTTATGAGAACTAACGATGAGATTAGTAAAACTTAACAATTTATAATCTCCCGATAATTTCAAGAACGACCGACGACAAGTCAAGTGATCCGAATTAGCGCTGCCGGCGCCAAGCGAATAAACATTTACGAATCGTGCGGACGGCAATGTGTTAATATGTAAATGTGTTTTATTACAGTTATTTCATTGTATTAATCTGTGTTTGATTTATAACCTCCAAATTTCCACTCCTTTTCAACGTCTCTAATTTCGAGACTTACATATATAATTATCATAACTTATATAAGATGTAAGAATCGATAATGCCGTGAAGAACTACTATTTTTTTTTTTTTAATTAAAAATATATTAGACAAACATTACACAATTTATTATTTAGGTACCTTAGTATAGGAAAAACGGCGCCTAAAACGAGCGGAAACTACTTTGGCTGTCAGTACAGACAAAGGAAGGGTTTTAAGGGGTTACATGGGTTTCACGAATTCAAAAAATCGATTTTTTTGTTTGTTGCTTATTAAAATCTACAACATCTCTAGAATATTATCCGAAAATTTCAACTTCATCCGAGTAATAGTTTCAGAGATACAGCCTTTTAAAGTTGCGCGCTCAAGGCTACCTCTATGGTCACTCAAAACTTTAAACGTGTTTTTCTCAAAACTATGTTTTTAAAGTCGGTTGTCAAGACTTCTCGAAGGCTACTCCACCAATCTCGATGAAATTTTAAACAGGTCTTCGAGATACAATTTACAAGGACTTGGACGAAGGATTTTTTTTTTCAATTACAACTATTTTTTTTTTTTTTAAATGCTGCAGAATTTTTACTGAATTCTGCATTTTTTTGTAAAAACCGCTGTCAAACATCCAATTTTCATTTCCTTTTTTTTCTTTCGTCCAATTTCTAGTTTGAAGCCTTAACTATAACAAGTATTTTTTTTTTCACTTCACATGATCCTGCTTGGAGTTCTGCTGTCAACGCGAATGCACCTTTTTTCCGAGGGCTCGCCGGGAATGACGTCACAATGGCGGAGTTGTTAATATTTTTTTTTTTATTTCAGAAAATGTTTATTAAATATATATCTTTAAGATAATAAAAAATTTGAATCAAATATTTCATATATTATATGAAAAAAAAATCTTGAAAATACGCCGTTTTTACCTGGATGAAACCCATGTAACCCCTTAAGGCAGCAGATCATTCACATCATCATCGTATGCCAAAAATAATAATAATAATAATAATAATAATCTTGATAAAAAATCGAAGCGATTAAAACCATACCATAAGGGTACGGTTATTAGTGATGTTGGTATGAATTAATACTTAAATAAATATTAAATTCTAACATATTTATCTCTATAATTATTAATCTAACTATTTTACTTATCGATTACATTATCAGCAAATTAACGTTTTGAATTTATTATTTTTTTTCAGAGAATATTAAGCAATGTAATAATAGATTATAAATTTGCGAATCTTGAAACTTTAATTTCCAAAAACTTTGATTCTTTAAAAGCCAGTATATATCATACGATTATAAAAAAAAAAATTTCAAAATTTAAAAAAACAAATTATACTTAGTGCTGGTGGAACAAGCAATGTACCAAACAAAACGTACACAGAAGTAATGGGAGAATTTCAGGGGATTTTGCCAATTGATGAGCATGTAATTTTCATCGATTTTGATCGTGATTTAGGCACGAAACCTGATGCACGACTAAAACTAATGAACTTATATAACGTATTAATTTATGGGGAAGAAAATATTACCAAGTGCATCAAAAAAACTATTTCTTCAACCATAAGTTCCAAAATCCAACTCCTTTATTCCGGTACTGGGAAAAAAATAAAAGGAGTTGGAAAACTTAATTTCAGTGAAATAAACATTTTTAAGTGTTTAAGAGGTTTGTATATATATGTATATATTCAACAAATTAAAATTTATTTAATTTTTGTTTTTTTTTTAAATAGATGCCACGCAAGAAAAGTTTGGCGATTCAGACCAAATGAAAAATTTTATCACTAGAACAAGCGTTTTTCTTGCAAACGCTGGTGATCGGGATGGAAGGCGGAAAATAAGAGCTGCTAAGTCTGCAAATCAACATAGCAATAATGAACAAATAAACTAATATATTAATAAATATGGTTACATTAGTTCTTAAGTTACTATAAAAAATATAAGGAAGCATCTTTCAAATAAATTTTATTCTATTCTAATTATTATATTAAATTTTTGTTATTATTCAAATTTATCCTAATAAGAATCGACAAATCTGCTGATGATCAGCCGATGATTGGTTTGATGATCGGCCGATGATTGGCCGATGCTTGTTTGCCGGGCTTGGCCGAGCTTGTTTGCCAGGCTTGGCCCAGCGTTATCATTCGGGCCATCAGCCATGCCAGGTCCAATCATGGTATCCTATTATCGGCCGATGATTGATCATTGAAAATTCATCAATTGAAAATTCGATATCTTTGGAACGGATGATCAAAAAAATGCTAAAATTTAGAAGGAAGGGTTTTTCGATGGGTATTAAAAGATATCAAAAAATGGCGGAAATCAAAAATAAAAATTTTTAAAACCGTCCGATTTGACGTGGAATGCCCCGTATATTTGGACGAGAGAAGAACTGTAAGGTATTAGAAAAAAGTTGTATTTTCATTTTTTTCTCGAATGGTTCTGAATGTCTACATTTTATACAAAACAAATACAGAAGGAAATGTTACCACTCGATTGGAATTCATAACCAATATCATCCGATTGATAATAATAGAATAGTTGGAGAAAAAGAGGATAAATCCAGAAACTTCATTGAGTGAAACATGGAGCGATGTAGCAGTCCCAGATATTCGTAAACTTTCTAGAAGGAGGGAAAAAGTTTGCGTTGTTTGAAGTAGGAAGGATAGTAGGCCTGTGCGAGGATAACGCACAATTTGTAATTTTTGCAATACAGGGTTACACGTATATGCATCAGTAAGCATCAATGCTATGGTTAGCATTGATTATGAAAATTTATAAAAGCGTCTTTAAGTAAAAAATAATTTAAAAAAATAAACAATTTAAGTAACAAATCAACTAGCTATAAATATTTATAAAAATACATAACTTTTTTTTTCAATCACGTTATACAAGCTACACGATCCACTTGTTCTGTAGTAGATCGGTCTGACGCTTGCCATGCATCATGTTGTTATCCTTTTGTTCTAAGGACTAATATTAGTTATTTTAATAAAAATTAATGAAATTGAAATACTTAAAATTCATGCTGCGTGACCTGAATGAAATTGATCAACCAAAGATTAGTGCAATTATTGTTTGAAGAAGAAAAACTTGTTTCTATACTTTTTATCCCATCCTATATTGATGTTTTTATTATGATTAAAAAACAATTGACGTTATATTGCTGTCCCTTTTTTCCGCAATACGCTGCATTTTGAATTTTGTAAATATCATTCTTAGTTTAGTTTATATTAGCTTTTGTTCAAACCTCTGCAAATTCGTCATTTTCGCACAATTTGCCGTTGCACTAAAAGTGTTTATTGGCGTAAGTGCCAGTTCCTAAAGGGAAGTGTAGATTTTTTGGGTTTTATTATAGAAGATGGAAAAGTTACTCCCGATCAGACAAAAATAGTAGTGATAAAACGATTTTTGACGCCAAGAAGTTTTAAAGAGATACAAAGATTCTTAGGAGTGATACGTTTTTTCAAAAAGTTTGTAAAGGATTACGCTCGTATATCGCGACCTTTGACTGTTTTGATTAAGGATGTAAAATTTGTATGGACGGATGAGTGTGAATGCGCGTTTAGGATTTTAAAAGACATTTTTGTTTGGAAGCCTGTATTGCACATATTCAATGTGACGGCTATTACCGAATTGCACACCGACGCGACTAAGTATAGGGATGGAGAGATCTTATTGCAGAGTAAGGCTGACGAGAAAGAATTTCATTCGGTGTATTTTTTTAGTAGGGAAACCTCCGAGACAGAACAGCGGTATCATTCATATGAGTTAAAAGTGTTAGCTGTTATTAATAGTATTAAAAAGTTGCGTGTGTACCTTTTAAGCACGCCATTTAAGTTGGTGACAGATTGCGATGCGTTTGCTAAGACAATGGAGAAAAAGAATTTATCTAAGGTTGGCACGTTGGGCTTTATGGTTACAGGATTTTGATTGTAAAGTAGAACATCGGCGAAGCAATCGTCTTAAGCATGTAGACACGTTTAGTCGGGCACAGGTTATGATAATTTCCGATACATTTGCAGTATTGGTAAGGGAAAAACAGTTAGATGAAAAATTAAGAGCAATTAGGACGATTGTAGAACGACAACCGTATGAAGATTACTCGATAGAAGGTGATCTATTAGTAAAGAGAAAAAGCGAAGCGAATCTAACTGTGGTGCCAAAGTGTCTAGAAGTAGAGATTATAAAAAGGGTTCACGATGATGGACACTTCAGTGTAGCGAAGATGGTGAAGGCTATCGAAGATGAGTATTTCATTCCTCGGTTAAAAGATAAGGTGAGAAGATATGTTAAGTGTTGTATACCGTGTCTGCTAACAGAAAGGAAAAAGGGTAAGAAAGAAGGAATGTTGCTGCCGATACCGAAAGAGGACACGCCCTTGCATACGTATTATGTAGATCATGTTGGACCAATAACTGCTACCAGCAAACAATATATTGTATATCGTGCAACTAGTGCGAAAAGTTGTCGATTGCTCACGAGAGCGAAGTTGAGCGCACGAGCGAAACGAGAATTACTCATGCGGGAAAAGTACTATCTTTGCGGTCGCTATTGGGGTCAAAAAGACGCTGTTTGCCTACTTTACAATTAAAACACGCGTTTTGAGTAAATTGAATGTCAATTTGAGTGCAAAAAGTTTACTTGTCGCATCCAAATTATACTTAGCACACTCAAATTGACGATAAAACTTATAAAATTAAAATGAATAACAAAAAAAAGGACAATTAGTGCCAATATCAAAGAAGTGAGGTAGGCATTTAAATAAAATAATTTATACTCGCGTATTAAAAAACTAAAATAAAAAGTTTAAATAAGAAACATGACTGATAATCTCCACTTGATTCCGGAAACTGATAATGAAGATAGTAATGAAAGAGATGATGAAAGAGATGATGAAAGTGAGTCTATACCGCCTGAAATGATTGAAAGAGCAAATGAGGTGATCAATAATCTAACTCCTGCAACATCACGACCAAAATATGAATCGGTATATTGGAAATTTATGTTGTGGCGAACAGCAAAACGGATTACAAGTCTTTCTGAAGCGGTTTTTTTAAACGTATTTTAGTGAACTTTCCGAAACCCTCTTGCCGTCAAGTTTGTGAGCGAGAAATTCAATGTTGCGAAGCATGGTTGATATTCAGCACAACCTCAATATATTTAATTATTCCAGATTAATTGCTTTTTTAAAGCAGAAGAATAAAGGTTTTAAGAACAAAAAAGCTGGAACATTGAGTCCTGAACAAATTGACCGATTCCTGCGTGAAGATCCAGACCGCGAATTCTTGGCTACAAAGGTTGTTAAATTAATTAAATATTTTATAGTGATCTATGGATCAATCTTAATTGGAATTTTTTAATAACAGGTTGCTTTAATTTTTGGGGTGCAAGATGCATGTCGACGGAAAGAATTGTGTGACCTAGTGATGAATGATATACAAGATAAAGGTGGCATGCTATTGGTAAAAGTTCCGGACACTAAAACTGGCAGATCTAGAACATTTCATCTAGATCATTTGATATTTATAAAAAATATGCCAAATTACGTCCTACCAACTTCAAAATAAAAAGATTTCTTATTAGTTATCGAAATTGTAAATGTACGACTCAAAACATCGGCATCAACACTTTTGGTGGTATGCCGAAAAAAATAGCAACGTTTTTAAAGTTAACAAATCCAGAAACTTACACTGGACATTCCTTCAAAAGAACTTTAACTACTTTGTTGGCTGATTCTGGTGCCGATCTTCTTACCATCAAAAGACACGGAAAAAGAAAATCGAGCTCTGTTGCTGAAGGCTACATTGAAAATTCCGTGGGCAACAAAAAACGAATCGGTCAAAAAATCGCAGCTACTATAACTTCCAGGCCGTCTACTTTAACAGCTCAGCAGCCACAAATTAATGTAGCTAATAAACCAGCAAGAGAATCACCGATCGAAATTGGAGTAAAGAACACGGACAATTTGAATTTTAAAATTTTGAATACGGTCCCATCAACAAATTCCAAAAATTTAAATATCTTGTTCTCAAATTGTTCGAACTTAACAATTTATTTAAACGGTAGTAAAACTAATCAAAAAATGTTGTTCAATTAGTACTTGATTGTTCGCAATTTGTATTAATGTGTTGTATTAGTGTTTGATTGTTAAAAAAATAAATTTACCTATAAAGTTTTTAATATTTTCAGTATTATTTTCGGAGTGAGAGGGACTCGCCCCCCCGCCCCCCGCCGGAGCTCTGCCCTGGACCCCAATTATGTACCAAATATATCCCCGCATTCGTAATAAAAAATATCTTTTAGTTGTAATCGATGGATTTACAAAATTCACCTGGTTGTATCCTATCAAGACGACTAGCAGCAGGAAAGTATTGGTCAGGCTGAAAGAACAACAGAAGATTTTTGGCAACGCGAAGCAGATCGTTAGCGATAGAAGGCCAGTCTTCATATCAGAGGACTTCCGCGAATATTGCCAATTCAAAGGATCGACGTGCTGGTTACGACGGAAGTTCCACTCTACGCACTCCGCGCACTCAGTTATTTATGTATTGAAAAGTTTGAAAAGCAATGTTTTGATTGGCTACAGTTATTTTCGGTAGCTACATATACAGTCACATAGCCATGGCAGTAAAAAGGGTGAAAAAGGACGAAAACAGCAAATAGACCAATTGAAAAAAGGGTTAAACAAACGACCTAAAAAAAGGTCATCAAGTTTGCTAAGACATATACATTTTTACTTTTTTTTGCTGTTTTTAAAATCCTAAAATCTGGAATTTCAGAATTTCAGAAAATCCAGAAAATCGGATCTGATTTTCCTGTGCGTACGATAATATTACGGCACTGTGTCAATCAGACAGGCAAAAGTTTCTAGGATCACTAAAGAGATAG